CAGCTCTGGGCTGGAGAATCTGGAGGGAGAACACAGATCTCCAGAGAAGGGCTAAACATATTCTCCTGGGTGTCATAAACTGTGACTGACCAGAGAATACTGTGATCCTCTGAATCTCAGCTATTCTGTGTGTCATAAACGGACACCAAAGTACATACATGTTTATTATCGATAGGCGACGCTTTAAAAACCTTTACAGGTAACCAATTTATAATTACACAGGAGGTCTAGTGTTAGAATTACTGACCTTGATCGGACGTTCACGGCGATACCTCACATGCATGGTGCAACTGCTGTTTACATACCAGCACAAGGTCAACGCTTGCGCGGGCAGGGGGGCAAGGGTGCTTTTTTTTTTTTTAGTTATTTTGATTTTTTTTATTTTTACACTGTCCCTTTTTTTTTTTTTTATTTCTTTGTTATCACAGGGAATGTATATATCCCCCTAACTGCAAAAGGCATCGTCAGGTATTCTCTTTGGAGAAATCTGGGGTCTATTATACTCTAGATATCTCCTCGGCCCTTACATTATCTACTCAAACCAAGATTGGTGATCAGATGCTTTCCCAATTTACAAATGGAGTGGTTTATATCCTGTGAAACTGAAGTGATGAAATGCTCATGGCTTCTGATTTCTTAGACTATAGAGATGACTGGAACCATTCTGGTCTCTGACCAACTCTATGGTCAGCCAGCAGATCTACCGGCTGCATTCTCGGATTCCCCTGTGGGACAGGAGAGCCCAAGAAAACTGTGGAAGGCAGCAGGGGGGGGGGGGGGGGGGGTTTCTGCTGCTCATAAAAACAATTTTGTAGCTAATTGGCCACTAGGATTGTTTTTACATGAAAGCCGACCGCCAGCTGAAAACGACGATACTAGGATGATGCCTGTAACTGCAGGTATCATCCTGGAATAACCATTCAAAATCCAGCAATGTACCAGTACATTGCTGATCCATGTTGGGCATATATGTAACAGCAGAGAACACGGACATACGGTGAATCGGCTCTGTGGATCAACATGACCGCAATTCATTCTTTTCTGTAACACCCATGTTGAGGGTTAGGTCCAAAAGAGTTTTAAATTTAGAAACCGTGGTAGGTTTCCATGTGAATTGTCTGGCAAAAGCTGACTTTGGTGTGGGGGAGATGTATTGTTGTGCATATAAATTGCCTTGGCCCACAATTGATACAAAACTTCTGTGAAAAACAGCGGAGGGGCTAAACACTAGTGCTGGTAGCAAACGGGCTGATCCTGCTAACTCTGCGTTTTTGGGGACACTATACAAAGGAGGCACTAGTATGGTTCTGTACATGATCATTATATTGATCTGTACAAACACTATACTAGTAATGGCGGTGATAAGTGACCTATAGCGTGTGCAGGCAATCTAACACTAGCTGACCCTGGCTGGGAGGGGTGCTTACTGACCCTGATACTGCTAGTGGCAGGAATACAGTGATCACTGAAATATTCTATATACTGACACTGTACTAATGGCACTGGCTGGGTGACGGGGTGATCAAAGGGTTAAATCAAATGAATGTGTGTGTGTAAAATGTAGCGTGTACTCGGTGCCGTGTTTCCTCTTCTCTTCCTGGACCAACCAGGGGGGGGTGTCAGAAGGGGCGCAGTTATAGATGCTACAACTTTCACATAAACCAATTAATTTACATGTATTGGGATTGTTTTTAGTAAAGACATCACAGAATACATTTTGGCCTAAATATATGCCAAAAATTAGCTTTTTTAAAAAAATTTTATCAAGTTTTTTTCAAAATTGTCAGATGTTTATAATATAAAAAATAAAAACCACACAGGCGATCAAATGCCACCAAAAGAAAGCTCCATCTGTGGGGAAATAATGACATAAATTTCATTCCTATATATTCATAAGTGTTGCATGACCACACCATATGGCAAGAAATGCCCTTGTCAGGAAGGAGGGTAAATCCTCCGGAAGGCAAGTGGTTAATATGTGTTCGGTTAGAACGAGATCACGTGACTTTTCTCATAAGCACGTTGCGCAGTACTGTACACTGTTCCTTTTTACAAGCCCTCGCGCACCAGACAAACTTCACTATCGAATTCTCCCGCGCATCCGAACTTCACGGCAGGAGGCGTGGCCGGTATACGCTAACCACCACACCACGTGACCTCAAGGGTGTACGCGACTTACTGAAAGCCGTGTACATCGCGCTCACACAGAGCTGAAGAACACCGGCGGCTCCGATTGGCCGCACGTAAGCGCCCTGTGATTTGCTACATTCTGCCGTCAATAACAACGACGTCTAATCAGACTCCCCCGTCGAGGTTACGTCAAGATGGATGTTGCTGCTGGTCCCAGCTACGTGTTAACCCCTTGGTTGCCAAAAATGCTGGAAAAAAACTGCAGAAACTGGCTAGGCGCCTGAAACACATGGGACAGGCAGTAGGCGAGATGGACAGCAGCGGGAAACGCCTCAAGCTGCCTATGGCGTAGTCTCTGTGAAGGAACTACAAGTGCCGGCAGCTGGGGGAGGAGACCAGAGCTCGTGTGACCGCCGCATTAACCCCTCTCTGCCCACAGTCTGTGGAAAGTTAAGTGGCGGCACCTGTACTTCGTGCCATTCACAGCTTCTCCCTACGAGCCCTTCCAGCGTGAAGCAGCAGCTGCACCTGAGGCGGCCCACTCCCACCCATACACAACACAGCACACAATGTACCAGCAGGGGGAGGTTGTGCCGCCCAGGTACAGGAATATACCACACAAGAAATGGGAAAATACCTCAGAACACACGGGGAGAGGTCACATTAGAAGACATCCTAGCAGGTTTACGGCTCCCCCGCCCCAATCAGCTGGAATAGCTGGCTTCTAGGAAAGGATACATGAAGGTCAGCGTGTCCCCTTTGTATTCTTGGAGCTGAGTGCACAGACGAGTGCACAGCTTGTACACGCCTCTTCTGGCTGAGGAGGGAGGAGGTGGGGGCACACTGCGTGTACAGGGGACCCTTCAGGGGACATGGCCGCACACTGCACACACAGGCAAACACTGTATACATACACTCATTTTTTCATGTAATAGTAAAAATGTACCAAAAAACCTAATTAAGGGCTCACTTATGCAAGCAGTACATCCTGAAAAACAATCTGAAGTGGATTGCTTTTCAGTGGGTGTTTGACAGGCAGTGAGGAAGTGTTCTGTTGCTACCTCTTCCCTTTAAACCCAAATAAATAGTAATTACACAGATTCTGGGGCTAATTTAACGTCTTGGTCCCGGCCGAACGCAAATGTGCGGCATCCCGGTGTCTGGGCCTAGACGCCAAGCGGCCGCACATTTGCGTCCTATTAAAAAAAAACGTGCTGAGAGCGCGCGCCCTGTGCGCTCCCAGCTCACATCTGGTACTCATGGAAAGGTCTCGGATCTCTTTCAGTCGGGACCCTTCCCAATCATGTGATGATGTGTCACGGCGGTCACATGACCCTAAACCCCTCCCGCCTTCTGAAACCCTTAAAGGGCTGGGAGGCGCCAAGGGGTTAATGCAGATAAGGCACTGAGTACGTTTAACCACCCTACAACCGCGCTATAGCTGAATGACGGCTACAGCACAGTTGTCCAGTTCTGGGAGGGTGTTATATGATGTCCTCCCAGAATGCACCCACAGTGGCACACATCTGGCACTGTCAGTGATCGTGTCCTACAAACAACGCTGATCACATGACTAGGTAAAAGGCCAATCATAGTGGCCTTTTACCACATGATCAGCTGTGTCTAATGAGACAGCAGATCACGAGCTGTCACAGCCAGAGGAAACTACTGCCAATAACCGGCAAATGTCACAGAGGACACCCGCACTGATCATCAGTGCCACCCATAAATGCTGCCTGTCAGTGCCCATCATTGCTGCATATGATGGGCAGCACAGTGGCTAAATGGTTAGCACTTCTGCCTGGGTCTTTGGTTTGAATCCCACCCACAGTACCACCTGCCTGGAGCTTGCATGTTCTCCCTTTGCCTGCGTGGATTTCCTCTGGGTACTCCGGTTTCCTCCCACACTCCAAAGACATGCTGGTAGGTTAATTGGTTCCTGTCTAAATTGTCCCTAGTATGTGTATGTATGAATGTAAGTTAGGGACTTTAGATTGTACGCCCCTTGAGGGTTAGGGACTGATGTGAATGTACAATATATATGTAAAGCACTGCGTAAATTGACGGCGCTATATGAGTACCTGTAATAATAATAATATAAGTTCCTCCTCATCAATGCAGCCTATCAGTGCTGCCAATCCATACCAGCTCATCAGTGCCCATCAGTACAGCCTATCAGTGCTGCCTCATCAACACACATCAGTGAAGGAGAAAAATTACCTGTTTGCAAAATTTTTTAATAGAAACAAAAACTTTTTTTTTTTAAATTTTTGCTCTTTTTTTGTTTATAGTGCAAGAAAGCTCTATTTGTATAAAAAAAAATAAATTATACAAAATTTCATATGGATACAATGTTGCACGACCGCACGATTGTCAAAGTGCAACAGCACTGAAAGCTGAAAATTGGCCTGGGCAGGAAGGGGGTAAAAATGCCCAGTAGGCAAGTAGTTAATTACCACTTTAATCAGCCACAGAACCTGTGTAATTTATGTGTTCAGTTTTAAAGGGATAAGGTGGCAACCCTACCGCCTCACCACCTGTTTTAACCCCTAAAAGCCCAGGCTGTAACCATGTGCATGGTTGTGGTGCAGCCCATTCGCTTGAATTGGTCACATTTGGCAGGCAGTACTGAACAGGACAGGTGGGATCATTTTTCCTGCAGCATGTATACTTGGGGGGGATTGGCAGTAAAAACCCACATGCTTTTTCCACCCACAAGTGTAAACTGCACCCAATGCTGGCCATACACTAGTCGAAAAATCGTTTTGAACAGGTTTTTGAAAAACAGACACATGGTCAGGGGAGGACTGACCATTCGTGTATTCCGGCACTGCCCGATGCTGGCCATACACTAGTCGAAAAATTGTTTGAACAGGTTTTTTGAAAAACAGACACATGGTCAGGGGTGGACTGACCATTCGGGCACTGCCCGAGGGCCCGGGGTCTGTAGGGGGCCCTATGAGATGCACTTGGTACCTTTCATAGGCTTTTTTGGGTGTGGTTTGAGTGTGAGCTAGGACACAAGGGCCCCATGATCCCCTATTGCCCGGGGGCCCCATGAGTTGTCAGTTCGCCCCTGCACATGGTCATAAGAGCAAATGATATTGCCATCGTGTAATGAGATTTGAACGATAAATTGTGCAATGGAAATAAATGAATTCAGGTTTTTTTTGTTTTCTGCTTTTGGGTCAAATATGCACAGTACCTACCGTTAGATTCTTAACGAGGCATGAAACACATTAACCTTTCAATTTATCATCTGAAATGTTCCAAATTTTTCCTTCGATTTTATTTTATTTTTTTTCTTGGCTCAAAAAAGTCACTACCGATTTTTGATTTGTGCCCATTAACTGGACAAAAGACAAACAAATTGTCTAAATGATAGATTTTCATATATTTCATCTACTGTACAATGGGTTTAAAAAGTCTACACACCCCTGTTAAAATGTCAGATTACTGTGATATAATAAAATGAGACAAAGATAAATAATTTCAGAACTTTTTCCACCTTTTAATGTGACCTATAAACTGTACAACTCAGTTGAACAACAAACTGAAATCTTTTAGGGGGGAGTAAACATAACAAACTAAAACTAGAAAAGCTACAATTTCTGGGGAAATTGTGTGAAGTGTTCTTGCCTCCACAAGTAGTCTACAACTGGAGTGGGCGGAGTAACTGGGTGGAGTGGCTGGAGTAACTGTGAAAAGGTTGGACTGGGCAGAGTAACTTTATGGAGTGGGTTAAAAACTCATGCAACTCACTCTACAGCAAGGGCAGAGAAGAGCAGTTAAAAACAAACCTCTCCAACTTGCTCACTTCACTGGCGGTTGCCATCTTCAAACAATTGTAGTTTAAAAATAAATACTACACCGACGTATTTATATTGTGAGAATCACAAGACCCAGACCTACATTTGATGCATAGTATGTCTCTGAAATATTAAAAATGAAGGTACAGTCGCAGTTTAGAAATTGCCCTTTAAATTTGAGGTGGCTAGAGTGGAGTTTAAATGAATGTCAATGGGCAGCATGAGTTGCAAACAAATGGTCATATTGTGAAAACTATCAGGACTATATGAGCCGTGGATTATATTAGCCGTGGACATTTTTAGTGGCAGGGATAGCTGAACGTTTTGATATAAGATTTGTGTAGGTGGGCTTGAAAATGAGGGAGTGATGGCAGTTTAGAAATCATGTCCTGATTTTTCAGCTCACACTCTAGCTTTTGTCAGCTCCCACTCTAGTTTTGAACATTCCGCCATTCATTCCTATGGGACCAATTTCACCACAAAAATGCCGATATTACGTGAACCATTTGGTGAAACGTTCCACAAAGTAATAGCACACCAATCGGGAACAATCCGCACGTTTCGGTATATTACTGTCTATGTAGTGTAAAAACTGTGGGAGGAGTTAGGGTGGAAAATTTGGCTATAATAATAAGAATATATATGTGAGATAACAGTAAGTGGTCTTGCCATGCAAGAATACTTAATGTGGCTGCATAAGGGTGCACACCCTCTTATAACTGAGGATGTAGCTGTGTTCAGAATTAAGCAATCACATTCAAAATCATGTTAAATAGGAGTCAGTACACACCTGCTATCATTTTAAAGTGCCTCTGATTAACCCCAAATAAAGTTCAGCTGTTCTAGTAGGTCTTTCTTGACATATTCTTAGTCGCATCCTACAGCAAAAGCCATGGTCCACAGAGAGCTTCCAAGGCATCGGAGGGATCTCATTGTTAAAAGGTATCAATCAGGAGAAGGGTGCAAAAGAATTTCCAAGGCATTAGATATACCATGGAACACAGTGAAGACAGTCATCATCAAGTGGAGAAAATATGGTACAACAGTGACATTAGCAAGAACTGGACGTCCCTCCAAAATTGATGAAAAAAAACGAGAAGAAAACTGGTCTGGGAGGCTGCCAAGAGGCCTCTACAGCAACATTAAAGGAGCTGCAGGAATATCTGGCAAGTGCTGGCTGTGTGGTACATGTGACAACAGTCTCCTGTATTCGTCATATGTCTGGGCTATGGGGTAGAGTGGCAAGATATAAGCCCTTTCTTACAAAGATAAACATCCAAGCCTGGCTAAATTTTGCAAAAACACATCTGAAGTCTCCCAAAAGCATGTGGGAAAATGTGTTATGGTCTGATGAAACCAAGGTTGAACATTTTGGCCATAATTCCAAAAGATATGTTTGGCACAAAAACAACACTGCACATCACCAAAAGAACACCATACCCACAGTGAAGCATGGTGGTGGCAGCATCATGCTTTGGGGTTGTTTTTCAGCTGGAACTGGGGCCTTAGTCAAGGTAGAGGGAATTATGAAGAGTTCCAAATACCAGTCAATATTGGCACAAAGCCTTCAGGGTTCTGCTAGAAAGCTGAACAAGAAGAGGAATGTCATCTTTCAGCATGACAGTGACCCAAAGCATACATCCAAATCAACAAAGGAATGGCTTCACCAGAAGAAGATTAAAGTTTTGGAATGGCCCAACCAGAGCCCAGACCTGAATCCGATCGAAAATCTGTGGAGTGATCTGAAGAGGACTGTGCACAGGAGATGCCCTCGCAATCTGACAGATTTGGAGTGTCAGGAAGAGTGGGCAAATATTGCCAAGTCAAGATGTGCCATGCTGATAGACTCATACCTAAAAAGACTGAGTGCTGGAATAAAATCAAAAGGTGCTTCAACAAAGTATTAGTTTAAGGGTGTGCACACTTATGCAACCATATTATTTTAGTTTTTTATTTTTACTTCCCTCCACCCAAATGATTTTAGTTTGTTCAACTGAGTTGTACAGTTTATAGGTTACATTAACCAGTTCCCTACCGCGCTATAGCCGAAAGACGGCTACAGCGCGGTTGTCTAGTTCTGCGAGGGCGTCCATGGACGTCGTCCCAGAACACGGCCCCAGTGGCGCGCTGCAGTTGATCACTGTGTCCTACGGCCAATCACAGCGGCCTTTTACCACGTGATCAGCTGTTGCCAATGACACATCAGTTCACCGGGTAAATACAGTTGTCGGTTATCAGCTGCACTTTCCGTATGATGTTACAGTGTGAGGAAAGTACTGCCGACAACCGGCAATTGTCAGAGATGTGATCGGCACTGATCATCAGGGCACTGATGATCAGTGCCCTGATTATCAGTTCCCAGCAGTGCCACCCACCTGTACCCTTCAGTGCAGCATCATCAGTGCCAGCTCATCAGTGCAGCATCATTAGTGCCTCTTATCAGTGCCCATCAGTGCTGCCTATCCTTGTCACCTATCAGTGCTGCCTATCAGTGCAGCCTCATCAACACACATCAGTGAAGGAGAAAAAAATGTCCTGTTTGCAAAATTTTGCAAAAGAAACAATGAAAAACTTTTTTTTTCATATTTTTTGCTTTTTTTTGTTTATAGCGCAAAAAATAAAACACCCAGTGGCGATTAAATACCACCAAAAGAAAGTTCTATTTGTGTGAGAAAAATGATAAAAATTTCATATGGGTACAGTGTTGCATGACTGCGCAATTATCATTCAAAGTGTGAGTGCGCTGAAAGCTGATAATTGGCCTGGGCAGGAAGGGGGTATAAGTGCCTGGTAGGCAAGGGGTTAAAGGTGGAAAAAGTTCTGAAATTATTTATTTTTGTCTAAATTTTTTTACATCACAGAAAACTGACATTTTAACAGGGGTGTGTAGACTTTTTATATATCCACTATGTGCACCATTTGGCTAGGTTGACACTTGTGTAGGGCAGACCATTCATTTCAGTGTGCTGCCCTACCCACAGACATGCAGGGAAAGAAGCCCCCAACCTTTTTTTTAAAAAAAATCATGCCACATGGTGCTGTGGCACGATGCAGTTTTGTGCGCATTAAAACAGGTGGTTTAGTGATTCACGGGGGGAACTAAAGAACAGCATGTTTGTCACATAATTGTGCACATGTTCCCAACACACAATAACATGAATCTAATATTAGCCCATAATTTTTTTTGTTATAGGTATTTACATAGTGCCTAAAAAGTCAAATAAAAATATTGCGCACAGTGCAAGTATAAATGTATACAAAAACAGCCGTACTCTAACATCAGAATACAAGATAAGTAAAACTAATAGGTGTGGTATCCCTTTAACTGTCCATTGAAAATTGATATCAAATTACATGAAGATAATGTTACATAAAAAATGAATTGCTCAAAGGTTATATCTTGTATTGCAGTAAATACTAAAAGTTCATGCCAAAGAAAATGGTGCTGTGGCCAATCCACTACAACCTGGTGTTCATCCAGGTGCTCCCACACCACCAAGTATACAGGGGTCTTACCAGAAGCAATAGACCTTTATGATAAAGGAGGTCCTTGGTGCATATGGTAACATGATTTGCCACTCTCAACCATTCTCCAGTTCCAGTATACAAAAATGACCGTCAATCCTTTACAGTATCAGTCTTAATAAAACCGCCATATAGAAAGAACAAGAATGAGACACATTTTTGTAATCCCTCACCTGAAGACATTCTCTTGTGAAGAAACGCGTCAAGAGCCACGCCAATGTCATTATCAAATTCGCTGCCCTGTCTGTGGTGATTTCTGTTGTGCTTGTCTATATTACATTTTAAGTACCCTACGGTTAATGAACTGTGTTTAATATCAGTGGTACTACACAATGTGGCTTGTTTTTTTCCCCTTTTATGTCACCATAACATGATTTCATTTTATGTAAACTGTAAACGACAAGCTCATACTGGAAGGATCAAAACTCTTAATTTTGAGGGAGCAGATTTCCAAGGCTGAGGGCAGCTCTAAAAGATGTAGACTGAGAGGGAATATTGTCATCGAAGAATATAGAACAGAAATGTGAATTCTTCAAATCTACTGTATGTGAACACACTGCAACATATATTCCCATGGACAGTACAGTACTTTTAAAAGGCTAAACATAAAACCTATGTGACTATGTTTAACTACTTCCTGTCCGCCCTATAGCAGAAATACTGCTACAGGGCGGCACGGGTGCGCAAAAATCACATATATATAAATATATACATGTGATTTTGCATTTCCGGGTAGGGGTCCCAGCCGGTGATTGCTGAGGATCTCCAATGGGGAGAATTGTTTGTAAACAAAATAGTTCTCCCTGTCAGCTCGTTCACACATACAAAGCAGTGTGCTTACAGTGAAGCACAAACACATGGCCCCATAGTAAAACACACCCAGCACACAGTTAACCCTTTGATTGTCCCTCATGTTAACCCCTTCCTGCCCAGTGCCATTAGTACAGTGTCAGTGTTTTTTTTTTTAGCACTGATCCCTGTATTACTGTCACTGGGGATGTCAGTGACACCAAGTCAGTTTCTCCCAGTGTCAGAATGCTTACCGCAGTCCGGCTATAAGTTGCTGATCGCCATTACTATAAACAAACCCAGTATGTATACCGCCATTTGTAAATACTATAGCTTTAACGTAAACCAATTAATTTACACATATTGGGAATTTTTTTTTTAGTAAAGATGTAGTAGAATGCATTTTGGCCTAAATTTATGACAAAATTAGATTTTTAAAAATTTTTTACTGGACATGTTTAATCGCTTAAGGACCGCCCAATAGCAGATATACTGCTACAGGGCGGCACCAGTGCGCAGAATCACGTATATATACATGTGATTTTGCATTTCCGGGTAGGGGGCACACTCTACCCACGCCGCCGTTTGCTGTCGCAGATGTCAATCACCAGGTCCCGCCCGGTAATTACCCGCCGGTGCCCGGAGATTACCGAGCATTTCTGACGGGGAGAAAGATTGTTTTGGTTATGAACAATATTCCTCCCTGTCAGCTCAAGCACACTGCTGTGGATGGCTGTGCACAGTACAGCCATCCCGATCAGTGTGCTTACAGTGAAGAACTCACACCCCGCCCCCTAGTAAAACACTCTTAGCACACAGTTAACCCTTTGATCACCCCTCACATTAATCCCTTCCTGCCCAGTGCCATTAGTACAGTGTCGGTGCTTTTCTTTAGCTAACTGTATTGGTGTCACTGGGGTGTCAGTGACACCAAGTTAGTTCCCCCCCCCAGTGTCATAATGTCTGCCGCAGTTCCGCTAAAAGTCGCTGATCGCCGCCATTACTACTAGGGAAAAAAACCAAATCCCATTAGCTATACCACCATTTGTAAATGCTATAACTTTCACGTAAACCAATTAATTTACATGTATTGGGATCTTTTTTTTAGCAAAGACATGTTGCAGAATACATTTTGGCCTAAGTTTATGATGAAATTTGATTTTTTAAAATTTATTTACTGGACATGTTTAATAGCAAAAAGTCCAAAATATTGTTTTTTTTTTTTCAAAATTGTCAGTTTTTTTTGCTTATAGTTCAAAAAATAAAAACCGCACAGGCGATCAAATACCACCGAAAGAAAGCTCAATTTGTGGGAAAAGAGGACGTAAATTTAATTTGAGTGCAGCGTTGCATGACTACGCAGTTGTCAGTTAAAGTAAGGTAGTGCTGTAATGCAAAAATGGCCTGGTCGGGAAGGGAGGTAAATCCTCAGGAGGACAAGTGGTTAATAACAAAAAGTCAAAAATATTGTTTTTTTTCTCAGAATTGCCGGTCTTTTTTTTTATAGCGCAAAAAATTAAAACCACACAGGCAATCAAATACCCCCAAAAGAAAGCTTGATTTGTGGGAAAAAAGAACGCAAATTTTCATTTGGGTGCAGCGTTGCATGACTGCACAATTGTCAGTTAAAGTAATGCAGCGCCTTAACAAAAAAAATGGCCTGGTCAGGAAGGGGGGTAAATCCTCAGGAGGGCAAGTGGTTAAAGTTGAAGAAGCTATAAATAATAAAAGGACATTTAAAAATACAAAAATGAAGGAACACTATCATCATTTAAAAGTCACAAAGAATATAACATGTTAAAAGGAAATCAAGACCGTAAACATTAAAAGAAGGACCAGGTGCAAAAGAGAGTAGGAGAAACCCCCAAAATTCTTCAACTATATCAATAGTAAAAAAAAGTCAGGGCTGAGCATGTAGACCCCTTATAAGATAATTTAGAGTTGGTGACTAGGGACAAAAAAAGGCAAATCTATTAAGTATAGTAATAGTATAGTAATAAAACAACAGAGAAATGTAGTCCTTCTTAGTTGTGTATAAGTGGAAGAAATGGGGGCACTCAGATCCATACTGTAATGGGGATAGTATTGACATTGCTCCAAAAGAACCACAATTCAAAATTGATTTGGTCCTAAAATATTTAGACAAAGGTGAATAAAGCACCTGAACCAGGTGGCTTACATCTACACGTACTCAAAAAGTTGAGCTCTGTTATTTCAAAGCTGTTGTTTCTAATTTTAGGGACTCTAACCGCTAAGTCTAGGTTCACATCTGTGCAGGTGGTGCGGCTTCGGATCCGCACAAAAATCAGTGCAGCCACACCACCCGCACAGAGGAATGTGGACCCACGGGCGGGTGCCATTAGTTCTAATGGCACGCCGCCCGTACTGGAAACCGCAACCGTACTGGGAACTGAGGTTCCTGTGCGGGCTGCGTTTTCAGAAGAAGTGCAGGGACTTCTCTGCGTCTCATGGGCAGGAGACTCCATTCAAATGAATGGGCTCTTGTGCCCGCAGAAACCGCGGCCCGTACGGCCGCATATATGTAAACCGGGGGTTAAGGACTGCCTGCTCATTATGTACTGCAGATGGGTGGCCCGTGCAGGCAAAGCGATATACTGGTACATTGCTGCTTGCTTCCAGGTGTAGGGTGTACACATGGGCACCCCCTCCCATTGGGATTGTACACAGCGGGAGTCTGTCAGTAAGTCCCAGCGAATGATTCATGGGGGGCAGAATGTGCAGGGAAGGTCAACTAAACTGATAAAAGGCATGGAGGAGCTCAGCTATGCAGAGATATTAGTTGAGCTGACTTTATTTTCTCTGGAGAAGAGGCAGTTAAAGGGTTAGGCCCCCTTTCATATGAGGCAGACTACGGATGCAATCCGCTTGCTTAGCAGGGGATATGTCTGCTTATGCTTATTTTCTCTCTTCTTTCTCTTTTCTTTTTTGCCCCAATCGCAATCCAGATACCTCTTATATATGCCTTATGAGACTCCCACACTGTAGCTAAGGACACATCCTCTGTCTCATTCTCTCTAAAAAATCTCTTAATTTCTTTCCCAATCTTCTGGGCAGTATCCTTATCCAGGAGAAGTGCCTCATTCAACCTCCATCCTACACCACCTGTTTTCTCCCTTCCCCATCCCATCTTCAATACAACAGGGGCGTGGTCCGAAATAATCATTGCTCCTATTTCTACTTCAACCATTAACTCAATAAATCGATGTTCTATCAATATGTAGTCCAACCTCGAATACATCTCATGTGCATTTGAGAAGAATGTATAGTCTCTATCCTTCATATGCATAATTCTCCATGTGTCCACCAATTGAAACTCATGGATTTCCTTCTTTAGTAATCTCAGAGACCTACTCCCAGCTCGCTGCACAGAAGAGGTTGCATCTTTTTTTGGGTCCATACAAAAATTTAAATCCCCAGCCAATATCAAACGGCCCTTTTTAAAGTCTATCAGTTTTTTTAGCACACCTTTCAAATATATCTCTGGCTTCTTGTTTGGACAATATATGTTAGCTACTGTACACACCACCTCCTGCAGTTTACCCTTCAAAAACAAATATCTCCCCTCTGGGTCCACTTTTCTATCCTCCAACTCAAACCTTATATTTTGTGCGAATCCTATTGCCACCCCTTTTGCTCTTCTAATCGGGGAATCTGCATAATACCATGTTGGATAATATCTAGATTTTAACTTAACCTTAGATTCTATCTCAAAATGTGCCTCCCACTTGTTAAGGGACCAAAAGTAATGGGACAGAATAATAATCATAAATCAAACTTTCACTTTTTAATACTTGGTTGCAAATCCTTTGCAGTCAATTACAGCCTGAAGTCTGGAACGCATAGACATCACCAGACGCTGGGTTTCATCCCTGGTGATGCTCTGCCAGGCCTCTACTGCAACTGTCTTCAGTTCCTGCTTGTTCTTGGGGCATTTTCCCTTTAGTTTTTTCTTCAGCAAGTGAAATGCATGCTCAATCGGATTCAGGTCAGGTGATTGACTTGGCCATTGCATAACATTCCACTTCTTTCCCTTAAAAAACTCTTTGGTTGCTTTTGCAGTATGCTTTGGGTCATTGTCCATCTGCACTGTGAAGTGGCGTCCAATGGGTTCTGAAGCATTTGGCTGAATATGAGCAGATCATATTGCCCGAAACACTTCAGAATTCATCCTGCTGCTTTTGTCAGCAGTCACATCATCAATAAATACAAGAGAACCAGTTCCATTGGCAGCCATACATGCCCACGCCATGACACTACCACCACCATGCTTCACTGATGAGGTGGTATGCTTAGGATCATGAGCAGTTCCTTTCCTTCTCTTGATCTTGGTCTCATCTGTCCATAGGATGTTGTTCCAGAACTGTGAAGGCTTTTTTAGATGTCGTTTGGCAAACTCTAATCTGGCCTTCCTGTTTTTGAGGCTCACCAATGGTTTACATCTTGTGGTGAACCCTCTGTATTCACTCTGGTGAAGTCTTCTCTTGATTGTTGACTTTGACACACATACACCTACCTCCTGGAGAGTGTTCTTGATCTGGCCAACTGTTGTGAAGGGTGTTTTCTTCACCAGGGAAAGAATTCTTCGGTCATCCACCACAGTTGTTTTCCATGGTCTTCCGGGTCTTTTGGTGTTGCTGAGCTCACCGGTGCGTTCCTTCTTTTTAAGAATGTTCCAAACAATTGTTTTGGCCACGCCTAATGTTTTTGCTATCTCTCTGATGGGTTTGTTTTGTTTTTTCAGCCTAATGATGGCTTGCTTCACTGATAGTGACAGCTCTTTGAATCTCATCTTGAGAGTTGACAGCAACAGATTCCAAATGCAAATAGCACACTTGAAATGAACTCTGGACCTTTTATCTGCTCATTGTAATTGGTATAATGAGGGAATAACACACACCTGGCCATAGAACAGCTGAGAAGCCAATTGTCCCATTACGTTTGGTCCCTTAACAAGTGGGAGGCACATATGCAAACTGTTGTAATTCCTACACCGTTCACCTGATTAGGATGTAAATACCCTCAAATTAAAGCTGACAGTCTGCAGTTAAAGCACATCTTGTTCATTTTATTTCAAATCCATTGTGGTAGTGTATAGAGCCAAAAATGTTAGAATTGTGTCGATGTCCCAATATTTATTGACCTGACTGTAGGTGGTCCATATAGTTATTCACTTTCAGGTCATTACAGAGTGGGTGCTCTTTGGCCACATGCAGTCCAGCACAAAATCATAAACCTACTTAAAAAAACCTACTTAAAAATTTAGATTTTTTTAAATTTTTGTAAAAATGTGTTTACACTTGATTTTGACAGTTGGAATTTGACAGTGTCTCTTTA